AATGGGACAGAAACGTGCTATTTTCGCATTACTCCTTCGGAGTCGAAGACCGATACTCAATCTAAGGCACGGCGTCAACAACAGAGTAAGCTCTAGAACCCTCAAAAAAGATGTCAGAACCTAAAATGCGGTAGGGGAGCCACTATTGGACTAACGATAATGGCTACTACGTGTACTTCAACAGGCGAGTGTTGCACCAGTGGAGGGATTTTGTAATAAYCCACTGACTAGTTTCMACGACRASCAGTGACGGCAGTATATACATCCATCGTGGGTGAAACTTGTAGCAGACATGRTGATAGGAAGAGTCTACGATGTGTTGTTGCTTAGCACTGCTATGTGAWAAGTGTTTCTAGCAACGGAAACAGTAAGTATTTGGGTGTTTGCTTTCGTGATACTGTTCGAGCGCATGGGGGGTAACGAAGAATCGGGTACAGGGCTCGCAGTACGAGGCGGATGGGCAGGGCGAGTGGATCRTGGTCGGAATTGACGAGGGACTAGGCGTCGGGGACGAGGGGTTGGCGCGCGTCGCGGGCGCAATATCATGTCGATGATCAGCTGATCCTGATGTGCTCTGGTGGTTTGTTCAACTGGCTGCGTCGTTGTTCCCATTGTGATGCTGCGTCTTTTGCTAAAAGGTTGTGAGATTCTTGGCAGAAAAGACCTCCCGACTTCATTTGAATGCGACAAGGATTGATCAGGATCTTCAATGAAGATGATTAGAAAACCATAATGTGCGTAGGCCTAAAACATCCTCTCACCCCGCGCACCCCGCGTACCCTGCTTCATTCTTCCGAGGGAAACCTCTCCAAGGCAAGGTCGACAAAAGGGTATTGACAGAAAGCGCAGTGCTTGGCCACCAAATCAAAACACTGCGAAAATCCATCTTGAGTATCGATACCGCCATCGCACACTGCGAATTACTGACGCGCGAGAACGACCGATCCTCCTTCAACTTGCTCCACGTCATCAGGCCCAGGTATCGGCATCCAATAGAATGGAGTATAACTATCGTCTTCAGTATCCAGAGCAAGCCACCGTTGCCACTGTTCCAACCGCTACAGGCAGCTCTCAGATCCCAACATGTTTACCAAGAGAGTCGCGTGTCAACGATCYCAGAGACGACGTCATTTACCTCGGGAAGGTTGCAAGACAACTAGACCGCACGACAAATGAGGCACCTTCGCCAAACCTCACCAGTGTACAGAGGCCTAAGGGCAAAACCTCTACAAGGCTTTACCACAAGCGCCCCCACAAAGTAGGAAAGGGAACTGGGGGATCGAAGGGCTCAGGTGGTATGGTCATACCGGTGCTGATAAGAAACAAAAATATTCGAATAGGTCATGCACGAGACTCTGGCGGACAGGCATATGGCTTTTTCGACAAGGCTGGACGTTTTCGTCTCCAGGTGGAAGTGGATCGGTCTGGTGGGCGCGCAGATCCGGGGCCGTTCATGGTTATGGAGCCAATATCCCATGTGCAGGTGTCATACAGTCGACAGTACCAGAATCTGTCAAGAAAAGAATTGCGCAACGAAATCTGTAAACGGCTAACGCAGGGCATCATTGATCCACTGTCGCAGGGAGAAATTTAAGGTGACTATCCCCCCGTACTGCGCATAGTCGATGAGCCGATTTCAGTAAACAGAAGGAAAAGAGCGCCGGGGAGGCATGACAAGTGCATAGATGCAGAACAGATAAGAAAACAAACGGTAGAGGTATCCAGAGTCAGGCAGAGCGGGGAGCAATTCTGTAGGGACACCAGTTGAACAAACAGGAGAGTCCTTACAGAGGTGGCTTTCTGCTGAGGCAAGAAACGAGAACACTTGTATTATACATGCACGCTACATAGCCGCCACCACGGCGGCTGGGACAGCCTATGAACAAAAAAAAAGAGTTCGAATTAGTCAGACGAAGTATTCATAACGATCTCTTGTGATACTAGCCGAACACAACCGATCCATTGGTAATACTGGACCGTCGTCTGAACCAGTCGAGTGGTGACCCGTACGGAAATCGAATTAGTCGAACGGGATTGGTATGCCCTATCCGGCTAGTCTGCAAATCAATGTAGACAGGTACAATGTTCGTACTGCTCGGGGCATTTTTGTATACCAGCCCACTCCGACGGGTTTCCCTATAATACTAGCCCGTATTTATTTCTATACTAATTGCTCGAGACCGGTAAGGTATGTCTACCAATCGAAGCACGTCGCCGTACTAGGACGTTCGTACTGGGTGCATGATGTACCTGTACATGATTCTATGCATACTATTTAAGCTTTGGTACAGTTCACCAGTCGAATAAGAACAGTCAGAAGGAACAGACCAGTCCACAGAAATTCTCTGAGCGGTACGAATATTGTACCTATCTGTATCGATTTGCAGACTAGCCGGATAGGGCATACCAATCCCGTTCGACTAATTCGATTTCCGTACGGGTCACCACTCGACTGGTTCAGACGACGGTCCAGCATGGCCAAGGGTTCGGCTGCGTTCGGTTGGTCAGTAACACGAAAGACTATTAGCAGTAGCGAAATGGCGTCATTATGATTAGATTTCCCAGTTAGAAGTTCATTGATTGATTATCGGTAGTTCCAGATTCATTATCTGCGTTCACAATACTCTGACCTTTTTAAAGATGGGAAATGATCATCATAAATCGAGTTGTACACAGTTCCATGTAAAGCCCTTCACCAATGTAGCAGTGACGCTTTGCCGGCACGCGTAGGGGCCGTGTAGACTCCGACCGATACACCGTCCCGTGTCATCCGCCAACATATCCGCTAAACCGATCGTCGTCATATCGGTCGCTACTCTTACCCATCTGCCAACACCAATAAATTGGCATGAGAATAGCGGTAGTGTGATATCTGTAATGATGCTTACACTAGTGCCTCATATTACTCGTGGCGTGCTTAGTCCAGGTGTCGCTACCGTACGCAGAGTCTAAGTGAGTTGCATATGCCTGCCATAAACAGGACCACGATAAGATAAGAAACGAGTGCATCCTTTTGTGGATTGTGGCTAGATCGTAAAGTCATCATTCGACGGTGGTTGAAGGATCGTTTCAAAAATCTATTATTAGCTTACTTAAACTCATAGTCCCCCATCAGATACGCCTTCGCTGCCGACGCCTCGGCGACCTCCGTACAGATTTAGCTATACCACCCTGATTGATGCTTCGCGACTGTCTCCTCGCCATTTGCGCTTNCTTGAGCCGTTCCCTGATCCATTACCGTCCCGGGTTCTGCCCGCGTCTCTGTGGTGTTTGATGGAACCCTTGTGCTGGCTATTTCGAGCTCGCGAAGATGAAACCTGACCCTTTTCGAGCTTTGTCCTTCTGCGAGGTCTTCGCCAATGGTGAGCCTCCTCTTCGTTCCTCCCGTTCGATCAGACTTAGGTCTGTTTGTTTTGGATGGGTTCACCTCGGCCTCAATTAAAGGAATCTGGTCTAAAACCCACTGCACAAGAATACGATGACGAGCAGCGTCTCTCTTTGCACCCGCGTAGCCGAATGTGGCCCGAATAAATTCCCCGATTCGATGATTCCGATCTCGGATCTTCTCGAACCGTCGCTTTGCAGCAAATACTTTCTCTGCGCCAACTTTCAACATCGATATTCGTTTTGCCTTGGGAATATCCAAACGCTTTGGATCCTCTTGGGTCAATATATAGATTCGTTTCGCTTCTAACTCTGCCCTTTGTACAGCCTTCCAAGCCATATCGTCTTCATTTTGGCGCTCCATCGGCGACGCCGTAGTTCGCACGAACTCCTTCGTCTCGTGGGGTCTCAGGACCTTCTCATCGACGAGCTCTTGCCACAACTTGTCGTGCTCTGGTTCCAAGCGTTCGATGTCGCTGGTGTACTTGTCAAGCCACCAGTACTCGTAGTTGAGGTACTCGATCCACGTCGTCAGCTTGTCCTGTTTCTTGGGGTCTTGGTCGAGCTCGAATGTTTGGGTGAAGTCGTGGCGCGTAAGCCGGCGCTTCACCGCTTCGGCGTAGTCGCGAAACCCTCGACAGCCGCGTTCTCTACAGAGACGTCGCTGCCGCTCACGTAGTGATTGTTGTGCATTCCATCCCGACTTGAAGCATGATGGATCAGCTTCGATTTCTGCCAAGCGCTTGGCGCCGTCTTCCTTCGGATAGTCTTCTTTTATCCGGCGTTTCTGACGCTCAACGTACGCCGGGAAACCGCCATCGTTATCCTCATGGCCCCGGTTATCGTTCTGCCACTTACGGAAATCCTGCCACCTCTGCCGCTGTCTCTGGAATATGCCCTCAGCTCTTATTTGGGTAAGAGTTTCTTGCCAAGGCCGCAGTATTTCGGCGTAGTCATTTGGATCCCTGTATACGTCCTGGATAAGGTCGATAGGGTATAGTGGGCGGCCGCCATCATTGACGAGTTCGTGGTAAGCCTCGGTTTCGAGTCTCGTCGGTTCGATCGGTGGTGTAGGGGACCTCGATCGATCGATGGCTTGAGTTTCGTGTCGTAATGAAAAGCTTTTGCTGGGTGATACTTGACGTAGGCGCGCATCGAGGTCATCGAGATCAAGTGGGCGAGAGCACGCCGTGGGACTCTGGGCTAGGCTGCGTTTTTGGGCCCTACATTGTTGTCAGCGGGAACTACGGAGAATGTGTGCCGAGCAAGTTGATGAGAACCCACTCTAGCCTCTCGGCGAGACGGCTTCGTTCATCTTTGGACAACTTGTCCCACCCATAGACAGGGAGATCGTAGTCACCGTCGGGGAGGCGATGCTTCTGCATGAACTGAGCGAGCTCGGCATCATTCATAGCGGCGACTTCACCCACGAGTACCGTCGCTTCTGCGGAAGCCATATTGTCGTTGATCATGGATGAAATGTAAAGCTGTTGAAGATGAGGGGTACAGGATGGACGACTGTTTGTTGATACTTGGCTAAGTTGAAACCTCAGGCAGCGAAATGGAAAAAGTCCTAGAAAGTGGGGCAAGAATAGCGTGCACATCAGTACATTAGGGTGAACGGAAATAGAATAGATATTGTTGTACCCCGCGTGAATTTTCTGGGGGCCGTGCAGGCCAATCATGCTTAGGGTTCCAGCTACTGCGTTTAGTGAAGAGTGCGGGGTAGTGGTTTTATTGGATATCAGTGTTTGATTTGTTTGACTGAGGTCTCAGCGAGTAGCGGCTGTACACACCCATTTTGTGCTTATAAGCTGAGGTCGTTTCTTGCTGTTGAACTGGTGTTCTTCATCTCACCTCCCTCTACCTAAGTATTTTTTTAGGATGGATCACAACATCATCGCCTATTTGTATCCCCATGGACTTGGTATTATTGCCGAGAGGGCATTAGAAGCGATCGAGGCAAGCCCCCGTTACATGCCTCCGCTCCTGGCGCAGCCTTCCCGCCCCCGGCACAGCCGCCGCGACCGCCGCGAGCGAGAGTCGACGGAGCCACCGGAGAACCCAGGTGCTTCGCCGTTTGACTACTCTTCATGCCTGGTGGTCAGACTCGGTGACGTTCCACGAACAGACAAAGGCCTGGTATTTGGTTCGAATCCAAACTGCGACGTCGTTCTGCGCGCCAAAGGTGTTTCCAATATTCATTTCAGCTTGACTTTTGACGAACTGAACCGCCCGCTCATTAAGGACCTGCGCTCCTCTATGGGAACCCAAGTCACCTACGATGGTGGAGGCGAGGGCGTCCGCAGGGATTTCCGTTGGATCGTCGGCGGCCACCATATTCCCCAAGAGATGGAATGCATCGTCATCACGGTGCCGGACGCCGTTTCGTTCCGGATCGTCGTTCAACCTCACGACATAAAGTCACCGGAATACATCGACAAGGTCAACAGGTTCAAACTGGGCGTGGCGACTGCTGAGGGCCTCCTCTATGATCTGAGCCTCTCAAATCCGCCAACAAGACTTGGCACGGGCGCCAACACCCCTGGCACAGAAGAGATCCACCTGAGCAAGAAGCTCGGCGAAGGGTCTTTTGGCGTTGTCACTCACCTATGGAATGTGAGCACRGGKCARGAGCGTGTTGTGAAGGCGCCTACCTCGAAAGCCATCCGCAAAAAGAAAGTCGATAAGAAAGCATGGCGTCGAGAGGCTGACATCATGGCTCAGATTTCACATGTTCG